GTTCCTCATGCCGTGACCCTTTCATACAGTTCTTCATGTTGTGGTGACCCTTTCATACAGTTCCTCATGCCGTGACCCTTTCATACAGTTCCTCATGATGTGGTGACCCTTTCATACAGTTCCTTATGTTGTGGTGACCCTTTCATACAGTTCTTCATGTTGTGGAGACCCTTTCATACAGTTCCTCATGTTGTGGTGACCCTTTCATACAGTTGTTTATGTTGTGGTGACCCTTTAATACAGTTCCTCATGTTGTGGCAACCCTTTCATACAGTTCCTCATGTTGTGGTGACCCTTTAATACAGTTCTTCATGTTGTGGTGACCCTTTCATACAGTTCCTCATGTTGTGGTGACCCTTTCATACAGTTGTTTATGTTGTGGTGACCCTTTCATACAGTTCTTCATGTTGTGGAGACCCTTTCATACAGTTCCTCATGTTGTGGTGACCCTTTCATACAGTTGTTTATGTTGTGGTGACCCTTTCATACAGTTCCTCATGTTGTGGAGACCCTTTCATACAGTTCCTCATGCCGCAACCCTTTCATACAGTTCCTCATGTTGTGGTGATACCCAACCATAAAATTATTTTTGTTGTTACTTCATAACTTCAGTAAATATGTGTTTACCGATGATCTTAGGCGACCCCTGTGAAAGGGTTATTCAACCCCCAAAGAGGTCTTACCCACAGGCTGAAAAATGCTGGTATAAATTAATCATACTGTCACTCAAAACAGACACCTACCAATTAATGATTCGCTGCACTAAGCCGCTGGGCCCTGTCTTCATCCCTATCTCTTTCTTCACCAGCTGGTAGGGGTAGAGAACATCAATTGGGAACTCCACAAATACTGGACCTGGAGGACAAATATAACATTAGTCATCTGAGTACTAAAGTGAATCTTATCAGAACTATTTTTTGGCCAACACTATGCTATCAGTGCGCCCGGCTCTCTAGCGAAGTTGGTTAAACCTGACTTTCGCGGCGGCCGGGTGATGAACTCCTTGTGGTCCGGGTTCACTCCCGTGGGTAGGCAGAAAAGCCACATTTCTCCCAGATTAACGGTACCTATAATGGAATCAAGGCCGAAGGGTTGCGATATCCATAGTACCGAGCCAAAGGGTTTACAACTCATGGTTTCTGGATACGTTAAAAAAAAAAAATGCTATCAGTGCCAAACATGGACACTTACATTCTCCAATGAACGTAAAATTGTGACAACAGAGGTGAAATGCCTTAGAAGGGCTGCAGGAATTTCAAGGGATGCAAGAATATGCAATCACAAAATCAGACGAATGCTAGGAATAAAGCCAGTCTTACAGGTCATCAAAGAACAACAAATGAAGTGGTTTGGACACTTTACAAGAATGCCCTGGTACTATCTGCCACAGCGAGCCACACTAAAACATTACAACGGATATAGAGCGAGTGGAAGATCTTGGAAAATATTGAGTGATGGCATTAGGAACAGTCTTAGAGAAATGAACATCACTCTTAATAGTGCTCTTGACAGAGCTCATCAACGAATGTTACATTGCCCCCGACACTTTGATGAGGTACAAGGTGGAAGAGAAGAAGAAGAAGAAGTCGCTAGTCGAGGCTCTAATATCCCAACAGTCAGGTTGCCCCATAACTGCTCTGTTACTTTGCCCGTGAAAAGACAGTAGAGTATTGTGTTATTACATGTCCCAGGCAGTACAGCATTATGTTATTACATGTCCCAGGCAGTAGAGCATTAAGTTATTTAATGTCCCAGGCAGTAGAGCATTATGTTATTTCATGTCTCAGACAGTACAGCATTATGTTGTCATATGTCTTAGACAGTACAGCATTATGTTTTCATATGTCTCAGACAGTAGAGCATTATGTTGTTACATGTCTCAGACAGTAGAGCATTATGTTATTTCATGTCTCAGACAGTACAGCATTGTGTTATTACATGTCCCAGGCAGTAGAGCATAAGGTTAATAAATGTCCCAGGCAGTAGAGCATTATGTTATTTCATGTCCCAGACAGCAGAATATTATGTTTTTACATGTCCCAAACAGTAGAGTATCATGTTATTACATGTCTTATACATTAGAGTATTATGTTATTACATGTCCCAGACAAAAGAGTTGTAACTATTGTTACATGTCCCATACATCAGAGTATTGTGTTATTACATGTCCCAGACAGTTCAGTATTATTACTACTCCGAGACAGCAGAGTCCTATTGTTACATGTCCCAGACAGTTGAGTCCTGTCTGTTATTACATGTACCAGAGAGTAATCCATTAACAGATTCGATTTTTTAATATTTTTTTGGACATTTTCCAGACAGGAGAGTATTATGTTATTACATGTCCCTGACAGTGAGTTCTAACTGATATTACTTGTTGCAGACAGTATAGTCATTTCTATTATTACATTTCCCAGAAAGGAAGGTCCTAACTATTTCATTTCCCAGACAGTAAGGTCCTAAATATTACCAGACAGTAAGGTCCTAAATATTACATTTCTCAGACAGTGAGGTCCTAATTTTTACATTACCCAGACAGCGAGGTCCTAATTATTACATTTCTCAGACAGTGAGGTCCTAATTATTACATTTCCAAGTCAGTTCTATCTGTTCTGCAAGGACAAACCTGGAGTTCCTGACTGAGCAATCTGCAGGGCTTTCCGTAGAGTGGGGACAATATCCCTGACAGTCGACACAGTGGCACAGAACTTGCAAAGAGGTCTGAACAGGGACAGCTGATCAATGTCTTGCAGAGCTCCTCGACCCTGATAGGAGTGGCCAACAGAAAGCATTTTTGTAATAAATAAGGTGCCAATTCTCACCCCAAATGATCCACAAAATATCTTGAACAGTAAGTAAGTAAGTAAAGGACCCTTTTCCACACCTTCAGATGTATTGGTCATATAGGGCTAGACCTGTATTTTACAGACCAATCGGCACTGGGTGGGTAATGTGGTCAACATCACACCGGCCGCCTATAGAACTGGATCTGGTACCCACTCAAGGTTGGGTCCACCTGGGAGCCAAGGTCATTCTTGACAAAAGTCTGGGCTCTGTTGGGACCCAAACCCATGACTTCGGATCCATATGCAAGTGTGTCTCTAACAGTAGTGCTAGGAAGTGTGTCTCTAACAGTAGTGCTGTGAAGTGTGTCTCTAACAGCAGTGCTGTGAAGTGTGTCTCTAACAGCAGTGCTGTGAAGTGTGTCTCTAACAGCAGTGCTGTGAAGTGTGTCTCTAACAGTAGTGCTGTGAAGTGTGTCTCTAACAAAAGTGCTGTGAAGTGTGTCTCTAACAGCAGTGCTGTGAAGTGTGTCTCTAACAGCAGTGCTGTGAAGTGTGTCTCTAACAGCAGTGCTGTGAAGTGTGTCTCTAACAGTAGTGCTGTGAAGTGTGTCTCTAACAGTAGTGCTGTGAAGTGTGTCTCTAACAGCAGTGCTGTGAAGTGTGTCTCTAACAGTAGTGCTGTGAAGTGTGTCTCTAACAGCAGTGCTGTGAAGTGTGTCTCTAACAGCAGTGCTGTGAAGTGTGTCTCTAACAGCAGTGCTGTGAAGTGTGTCTCTAACAGCAGTGCTGTGAAGTGTGTCTCTAACAGTAGTGCTGTGAAGTGTGTCTCTAACAGTAGTGCTGGAAAAAAATGATTCCTTAAAAAAAAGATGCCTGTACAAAGTACCAACAGAAAAGAGAAGTCCTGCAAGGAGTGAACATTATAGTAAACACAGAGACATTAGAGCAAATCAGAAAGTAACAATAATGTGCATCCATCAAGATTACTAGCATCTTACACACTAATATTTCCAATAAAGAATCAACTATTAAAAAGAGTGAGTTAACTCTTTGAGTCTCAAACAAAGCATGGTGTGTGAATCACTCTATCTGCCAAATCTCATTCTTAGAGTAATATTCTCTCTTGCTTTTGTATTTGGTCACAAATAGAAATCTGGCGTGTCCAATGGTCACAAGTACTGTTATATGACCCCGTTGAAATTCACTGATGAATTTTCCATACCGATACATCTTTACTGGCAACTTCAATGAAACCTTTCCTGGTACTCAAAGAGTGAAATAATCAAGAACAATTATTTTTGGCACAGCGAATAGATATCTTACTTTCAAGAGTGTGGCAGCAGCTCCACCTATTAACAGTAGAGGGGATTCTGCCATCTGAGCATTTTTGACTGCTGTGACTGTGTTTGTGACCCCTGCAAGAGAGTTGTAACAAGAAAGCAAAATGAAATCACAAATAACAAAAGGTCAAGGTCAAGTTGGGAGTGCACACGGTTATGAACCATAAGTGCTCTGCCACCAGTTCGGAGGCTGATAAGAAAATGTCTGCCTGTGTCGCCATTCACACGCAACTCCATAGCTACAGCGACGTTCCTCCATTTATACCAGAGTATTAACTCTAGTACCTATTACCTAGAGGCTGGGTGAACCCCGGGAACCGCCCCGGTTTCGAACACCGGCCGTAGGCTGCAGCGAGTAGCAGCTGGGTTTGAAAGTGAGTCTCTTATCGACTGTGCTAATGTGGCCCTTACAAATAATAGTAAAGTAAAGAACCCTTTTCTATGCCTTTAAGGCGTATTGGGTACATAGGGCTAGACCTATATTTTATAGAACAATGGCACAAGACGGCTACGCCACGGCAACTACCCCTCACAAATAATGACTGCTTCTAACCAAAACTGAAACAGTTGTAGCATATCACCATCAACTGCGACATATGTCTTTCAGAAAGCACTTGTGTTCATAGCCGACCCTCAATAATGGCATTTGGCATTCTGTTAACTCCAAGCTGCAGAGGTGAACCATCCAGCATTATTTCCCCCTACTCAACAGAGGGAAAGCACATAGAAAGAGATGTGGAGGCCAAGGGAGACTGATATATTCCCAGAAACTCTCAATGGAAGCTGAAAGCAAACAAGTTCAAGTAAACACTTTGAGATCATGTCTCTTTCCTATGGCAACTTATCAATATCAGTTATAGACTAATACTACAGAAAAATCTTTAGAATACCATGGATGAAAAAGACAAAAATTATTGATAACCTACATGATTTGAGTGGCGTCCATGGCTTAGGCGTTGCGAGTCCCACTTGTAATTCCAATGAACCGCGATTGAAACCCACTGCTGGCTGCGTGGATTTTTATCATGGTATGGGGCGCTGCAGGTCGACCCTGCCTAAAATGGGTACCAGGATGGCTGTCTTAGGAAAGTAAAGATGGCCGTCCTAATGCTGACCACATTACCCACCTAGTGCAGATTGTCTGATTTTGGCCATGATAAACATCATGGTGATGGGGGGGGGGGATGGGAGGGACTAGTAACATGTACCCTTACAGATAAGACCTCTCAGTAACTAAGACTTAGAAGCAGAGGAACCAGTGACATGGAGCCTCAAAGACAGTCACTAGAGAATAGACATGAACAAGACATCCAATTACAGAGACAACAGACAAGATACATGGATCCATGGTTAACAGAGACAACAGACAAGATACATGGATCCATGGTTACACAGAGACAACAGACAAGATACATGGATCCATGGTAACACAGAGACAACAGACAAGATACATGGATCCATGGTTAACAGAGACAACATACAAGATGCATGGATCCATGGTTAACAGAGACAACAGACAAGATACATGGATCCATGGTTACACAGAGACAACAGACAAGATACATGGATCCATGGTTACACAGAGACAACAGACAAGATACATGGATTCATGGTTAACAGAGACAACAGACAAGATACATGGATCCATGGTTAACAGAGACAACAGACAAGATGCATAAATCCATGGCTAACTGAGACAACAGACAAGATACATGGATCCATGGTTAACTGAGACAACAGACAAGATACATGGATCCATGGCTAACTGAGACAAGAGACAAGATACATGGATCCATGGTTAACAGAGACAACAGACAAGATACATGGATCCATGGTTAACTGAGACAACAGACAAGATACATGGATCCATGGTTAACAGAGACAACAGACAAGATACATGGATCCATGGTTACACAGAGACAACAGACAAGATGCATGGATCCATGGCTAACTGAGACAACAGACAAGATACATGGATCCATGGCTAACTGAGACAAGAGACAAGATACATGGATCCATGGTTAACAGAGACAACAGACAAGATACATGGATCCATGGTTAACAGAGACAACAGACAAGATACATGGATCCATGGTAACACAGAGACAACAGACAAGATACATGGATACATGGTTAACAGAGACAACAGACAAGATGCATGGATCCATGGTTAACAGAGACAACAGACAAGATACATGGATCCATGGTTAACAGAGACAACAGACAAGATACATGGATCCATGGTTAACAGAGACAACAGACCAGATACATGGATCCATGGTTAACAGAGACAACAGACAAGATACATGGATACATGGTTAACAGAGACAACAGACAAGATACATGGATCCATGGTAACACAGAGACAACAGACAAGATACATGGATCCATGGTTAACAGAGACAACAGACAAGATACATGGATCCATGGTTAACAGAGACAACAGACAAGATACATGGATCCATGGTTAACAGAGACAACAGACAAGATGCATGGATCCATGGTTACACAAAGACAACAGACAAGATGCATGGATCCATGGTTAACAGAGACAACAAACAAGATACATGGATCCATGGTTACACAGAGACAACAAACAAGATACATGGACCCATGGTTAACAGAGACAACAGACAAGATACATGGATCCATGGTAACACAGAGACAACAGACAAGATACATGGATCCATGGTTAACAGAGACAACAGACAAGATACATGGATCCATGGTTACACAGAGACAACAGACAAGATACATGGGTCCATGGTTACACAGAGACAACAGACAAGATACATGGATCAATGGTTAACAGAGACAACAGACAAGATGCATGGATCCATGGTTACACAGAGACAACAGACAAGATACATGGATCCATGGTTACACAGAGACAGCAGACAAGATGCATGGATACATGGTTAACAGAGACAACAGACAAGATACATGGATCCATGGTAACACAGAGACAACAGACAAGATAGATGGATCCATGGTTAACAGAGACAACCTCCAATCAGTCGACCCTTACGACATTTATGCTCGTTGCAGAGCTAGTGGGTCTTTTCTTATTTTCCCCTCAATGGAGCCCCGGAACCCCCATGGGAAACTGTTTCAAAAAATGCTTGGTTAATATAAATTTCTGTAACTTATGGTGCCCTTTCATTAGTCAAAGATGATTTCTGTAACTTATGGTGCCCTTATATTAGTCAAAGATGATTTCTGTAACTTATGGTGCCCTTTCATTAGTCAAAGATGATTTCTGTAACTTATGGTGCCCTTTCATTAGTCAAAGATGATTTCTGTAACTTATGATGCCCTTTCATTAGTCAGAGATAATTTCTGTAACTTATGGTGCCCTTTCATTAGTCAAAGATGATTTCTGTAACTTATGGCGCCCTTTCATTAGTCAAAGATGATTCCTGTATCTTATGGAGCCCTTTCATTAGTCTAAGATGATTTCTGTAACTTATGGCGCTCTTTCATTAGTCTAAGATAATTTCTGTCTGTATTCCATAGTTGTGGATTTCAAGCTGTGCGACAGACATGGGCAAGTGTGACAGACATGGACAAGTGTGACAGACATGGGCAAGTGCGACAGACATGGACAAGTGCGACAGACATGGACAAGTGCGACAGACATGGGCAAGTGCGACAGACATGGGCAAGTGCGACAGACATGGACAAGTGCGACAGACATGGACAAGTGCGACAGACATGGACAAGTGCGACAGACATGAACAAGTGCGACAGACATGGACAAGTGCTACAGACATGGACAAGTGCGACAGACATAGACAAGTGCGACAGACATGGACAAGTGCGACAGACATGGACAAGTGTGACAGACATGGACAAGTGCTACAGACATGGACAAGTGCGACAGACATGGACAAGTGCTACAGACATGGACAAGTGTGACAGACATGGACAAGTGCGACAGACATGGACAAGTGCTACAGACATGGACAAGTGCTACAGACATGGACAAGTGCGACAGACATGGACAAGTGCTACAGACATGGACAAGTGCGACAGACATGGACAAGTGCTACAGACATGGACAAGTGCGACAGACATGGACAAGTGCAACAGACATGGACAATGAAGACACCTTTTTTTAGGGGTGCCTAGCTGGTCATTGTTACATTTGTTTCCTTAACGAGGCACACACGCCATTTGGAGGTGACAGGTCCCATTCCTGGCACGGTAGCTACAGCTTTTGATTTTTTAATGTTGTCTAGTGTATCTTCTAACTTTCTATGAGTGCCAATCAATACATTGTATGTTTGTTTATTATAAACAATGGTTCAAACAACTAGCATACCTGGTCCAGCAGTAACAGCTGCCACACCAACAGTTCCTGACATGCGGGCCACAGCATCAGCCGCAAACACCGCAGTTACCTAAAGATACATTGAACCACCAATTGCACCTCATCATCATCATCTTGCTGTTATACATCACAATAAATGAATCAAAAAATGATATCAGTGCACTTCGCACATTTCCACATGTGCTCCATCTCCCTTCTCAGAAGCCAACGAAGAAATCAACATGCTAACAGTACCAGGTACGACCTGATTAAAAAGTCTGCTTCTTCTCCATCAGTGTTGAATATCTGGTTTTTTATTAATATCCTACCCCAAATGACATCATAGGACAGTCTAACATTTAAGAGGGTGGTAGGACTGGGTTTCCCGACTTTCTGATTCCTTTAACGACCCCAAAACATCTAGAACTGGTCATAACCCCAACCCACCTACATCCCACGAGAGAGTGCAGCCTATGTCCGACGACTGCATGCAGGTCCCATGTCTGCATACAGCCTATCTACCACCCCCTGAAATATCTGACTGTCCCATGACCTGTGGATTTCCCCTGTCTGGGGTAGGATATTAATTAAGCACCGAATATCTTGCAGATCCTCCACTGATATCACACTGCTGATTGAGTCTGTCAGTGTAAGGATTCCCTGTCAGTGTAAGGATTCCCTATCAGTGTAAGGATTCCCTGTCAGTGTAAGGATTCCCTGTCAGTGTAAGGATTCCCTGTCAGTGTAAGAATTTCCTGTCTGT